ATATTAAAAATTATTCTTTCATTTAATAATTATAAACTTACAATTTGAACTAAAAAATCAAAAACTAAAACTTTAAATTGAAATTGTGTAAAGAAGGAAATTATAAGGGTAGGGAGTTGCTATGCCATTACCATTAAAAAGATATTTTACTAACGAACTCTCTAGCAAATTCTCGGCATCAATAAAAATGCAGTAACTAACAAGGGCACAATAAAGATGTCTACAAATGTTCCCATACAGGGCTTTTCCTCACTTTTCTTTAACCACTGTGTATTTATGTGTTGGAAAACCCAATTATCCAACAAATAAATAAAAAAAAAAAAAGGATCTTAGACTGGATTTGTTTTTATATGCATTCTAGTTTCATTTCAGTTCTCCATCATCAATGGCAGGGAAACGCCTTCGAGTTAGAATGAGGGGAAGAACCTGTTCAGCTTGAAAGGCAATGAATAGAACTCTTCACTCCGGGTATCTGTGTTGAAATTCCTGAACTTTTCCCACCAATGTCTGCCACTGTCATGGTGGATTGAGCTGTGTCCATAACTATGGGTGCTGTCTAAGAAGAAAGCAACAAAAATTGCAACGGTCGCAGGAGATGAGAAAATTACTTGCATTATGTTGTTAAACTGCAAGCAACAGGAGACAGGTTAAGAGAAGCATAATTTTGTTATTAAGTGTAAATGAAAAATGATAAAATTGGGCAGACTGAATTCATAAATAACTCACCCATGAAGAATGAGTGTGAACAGGACCATAACCAGAAATTAGAAGATATTCATTGAAGTATTGTGGCACTGAAAGACCCATGAAGATGGAAAAACCTAGAATAAACTTGGATCTGAAGCTGTTCAGATTGCAAAATTGGAGGAAACCAAGGCCAGCTGAAGCTGCTTGCACATAAATAAAATGAAATCAAAAGTCTTTTAAAACATCATCAATTAAAGACAACAGAGGAATGAGAAATACAACAAATTCAAAATATTTTAGATAACACCAAGTTGACTATATCTTCATAATGAAGGCCAGTGAAATTATACTGGGATTTCAGCTAATGATCTACAGTTGTTTTTTAGCAGAATATTTCATGTTGAGAGAAAAGCAAATGGTAATGTATCTATAAATTGTATACTTTTTTGGATGAAAATCATTAAAACATTGCAAGTGAATTATGAAAGGGTAGCTGATAGTGCTGTGAACCAAAATGTAAAACACAAAGATGATCTAGAAGTTGCAGATAGCCATCTCCATAGTCATTTCATATCCAACTCTGTATACTTCAAAATGATATTCTTATGCAGTTTTAATAGATTTAATTATCAGGAAAAGGAGAAAAACTAGGTCTCAAATATGTTCTCAAATATGTTTAAGTCTACTCAGCGAAGGTTATTATTTCCTTGTTGCATTATCACCATAGACCTTGTAAAATAAGCCATGCTTTCAATAATGAACAGATGGCAAGATATAGGATTAAGAATACATACCAACATAGGCAAAGAGGACACAGTACAAAGCTGCCATGATTGGCAATGGTATGGAAGCTAGAAGAGCACCAAATTTTCCTGTTAACAACACAGATAATGTCACAATCAGGTCAGTTATGAAATAATGAAAATTGCAGCCACAAGGCCCAGAACTAAAGCACCGTGAGTAAATTTTAACATAAAAGGTATAAAATGCTTAGTAGACAACTAGTTATTTTTTGCATTCTCAAAACAGAAATGAGATAGAAATAACAGACATCCAAGTTTTAGGTTCAGCTATTAGGTCAGCCAAGAATATACAGATTATATGTACCTAAAATGAGGGAAAGGAAAATATAGATTATGCAGTAAACATAGCCAAACAAAATCTCACTATATGGATACCATACCTAGAACAGAAAAGAAAAGCATAAATCCTGCTGATATTTGAATAACTCTCCGACTTCCAACTCTTGTTAATCCCAAAAGACCAGCATTTTCACTGTATATATACCAGAAAAGAATTAGATAATAGTACTAGCTAATGGGAATCCTAGGAATTGAATCAAAATAATTTCAACATACTCAACCACTGGCAATAACCAAGAGCCAAAGAAGCTGCCTAGAAATCAATCTAAATGTTCTAAGGGGAACTACATATACACACACTTTAGAGTGACCTATAAATTTAGAATGACCAGTAAGCCAACATTCAAGTTCACAGGAGTTAGCTAGTTGACCATGTATATTTCAAGTGCAAAAGTGAAAACAATAGATGCCCACAATGACATTTTCTCTAAAAAAATGAAATAAAATTTTTCAAAAGTTCATGCCAATTACACCGAAGCAGTGGAGCCGCTTGCTGTGCCAAACAAGCCATCTAGCAAAATCCCTATTCCCTAGAATTCACAAAAATTTAAAGTGATCAAGATTATAGATCCAGAAAATAAAAGTTCTATATGACCTCAAGAAATACATAATAATATGATATGCAAAGAATAGGATTTCTAGTCTTACCTGCCATCCAGCTCCACGGCTAAGAATAGAAGGTGGTATATGAGTGGCACTGCCAAATCTTGCTGCTGCAATAAATGTACCTGTAGACTGTGAAGAAAAAGAGCACTCAAGAGAAGATTTTTCTCAAAAAGAAAAATTCTAGCTTCTTGTCATACAAGGTTTTAGATTATTAAGAACAAGGGTCGAGGTGAAAAGGGAAAGACAACAATGAAGGATGTTTAAATGTCCAAAGATAAATGACACAATACACGTATCTTTGACAAGATTAATTTTGTCCAAACACCTAAAGTAGCAATTTTGCCTATGCCTCTACTCATCTGCAACATTGAACTTTTGTTTTCACCTTTCCCAGTTTCACATTCTCTTTAAAAAAATGAAGTCTTCATTTTCAGCAGCAATAAGCAAATCACCATCTTGGCCATGCATATAGATGTAAAAAAGAAAGAAATCTTTTCATAAATCATACCTCAATGATGGCAACAAAAGCAGCAGCCATCATTGCAAACGCGTCACCAGCTTCGAAATATGGAGTCCCCCATTGCAATGGATATGGAACACTTATCCTGCAAATAGTGAAGCATAAATGTCATTAAAGGTCTTGTTGATTCCACTAGCCCACCCGAGAGGAAGTATTAATTCATAAAATACGGCTAAACAACAGAGAATCTACTCTCAGGGATGTTTAAACCATCTAAACCAAAAGGCTAAGATAAACAAAGTTTTTTTTTTTTTTTGGGAACAGCAAGATTTGTTCCAATAATCAATGAAAGTACATCCATCTAATGCAGGTGTATCCAGGCTTTCACTTACATCTTAATTAATTAAGTCAATATGGAAGATAAACATAGGTTATTAAGATAGTAATTGCTCTTTCACTAATAGAGCATCAAAAAACTTCATTTATATTTTAGATATTTGTATAAATAATAGAATAAACAGGTTACATTTTCATTAAACTTTACAGCCTCATAGGCACTGTTAACAAGATAAACAAGGAAAGCAAGCTCTATTCATGGTCATGGTTCTAGAGAAGGTAAAAATTGTGAAAGGCTAGAGCCTATGATCTACTTTGAAAGTACCTGGCAAACAAAAGCAACATGTACCCAGGTAAGGTTATTCAATTTAGTCAAATAGTAACTGTATGCTAACTCATACCAGTATGGGCTTGTGTGCTACTCTACCTTATGACAACCAATAGGTTAATGAGAAACATCACATGGCTCATGATCTGGAAAACCATTGAAACTAACCGCCACATAAAAAATAAAAAAAAATAAAAAAATTTGCATCTTTAGGTACTTCCAGGGCTCAATCTATTCTTAGAAACTTGAGAGTACTTGATAAGTCCCATATTCAATTTCTCAGAAGCACATGGTAACGCAATGAAGGCAGGAAAAGAAAATTAAACATGCATGGAAAGGTGAAAAGGACACATTACACTGATAAAAATCATAGTTAGAATTTATTAGCTCACCAAGGTGCAGCTCTAATGAGTCCAGAGCGATCAGTACGACAACTGAACTGAGTTGTTGGTGATTTATGATCATATGCACCAGCTGCAGTCAAAATTTCTGCATAAACCCATACAATCGCAACCGAGAAAAGGACTGCAAACCGTTCAAATATGGCGCACTTGGATTTCAACAAATGGGGGACATACTGCAATGTCAAGAATTGCACCCATCATCAAATAGATGTCAATATAATCTTAAGAAGAACAAGGATTTATTAGTATATGTTAAAGTGCTATTATTTCATAATCCATACCATCAAAGTTTGTGGTTTATTGTGGTTTAAAAAATAAGTAGAGCCTCTTGCCTAGGGCCAACTGGGTTAAGTTGGATGTTTTATCAGAATATGAAGAAAAGTCGTCAGCTGTCTCCTCGTTTATGCAATCTATTTATCCTTTGATTTTTCAACATGGAGGTAAGGGAACAGCACTACACCAATCTAAATCCTTCCACATATTTAGGAGTCAACCACAGGCTTAGTTAGAAATCGAAACCCAGGCCATAAGACTGATATCTCCCATTTATCTCGGTAAGCATTCCAAGTCTTTTCTTCCACTTATCTCAAAAAGCATTCCACATCTTTTCTTACATTTTGATTATAAAAAACTGAAGAATGATAAAGGGAAAACTGCGAAAAAGTAATCCACCATCTTGTAATTATCTTAGCACCAAAAGAAGCAAATGAAGAGATGACAGTGTTAGATTTGACACAAAATTTTAATATATTAAATCTCAATCAATTCAAGAGAACTTTAAATAAGATTGGTCAAAAGAAAAGAATGATCATGGACATTGAGGTTCACCTGAGATAAGAAAACCAGTATGATCAAAGCCGGGAGTCCTGTTTCAATGCATTTTGCCACCTACAGACAACAATTAAAGAGAAATAGGGTCATTTTGACAACCAGATCTTATAAAAGAAAATCCAGCATAATTTATACTTTGCATAAAATGGCCATCATCAAATATTAACATCCAGTTTCCATGTCTTATGGTAAAGGGACTTTTGAAAGAGTGATCTACCAACTTAGACAAAGATCTGATCCTAGAGTTCTTCTCAATCAAACCACTCAAAGAACTCCAAGATGTTCGATTTAGCAGTTCATTCAATCCCGATAACACCTCACAACTCTTCAGGCAATTGTAAAAACCAAAATTTGTACCAAAAGAATACTTAGCAGGGAGAAATATGATGTTTGTCAACCAATAATGGGACTGGAAAGAAACTGATTTCCTTTTTCAGACAATGAAAGAGAGCATTTTTTTCACTAGAGAAGCACTCAGAAAGCCTCATTCTCATTTATCTTCAATACACCTCAATATTTTAACTTAAAATAAAGATGATTGAAACTGCCTGTTAGACGACATTTATTTTTCATTAAGAAGGGTTAAATTCTCTTACCTGTGGGAAACCACGTTCATAAAGCCCAAGTCCGGTGAGAATGACAAGAGGAACAGCTGCAAGAGGGCTAAGAAACCTACACCACATTATACAAAAAATAATGATAATCAAATAAAAATTCAGTGGATTGATGGAAAAATTCTGAAGGTCATTGACACATGATCACAACACCCAACCTTCCGAAAATTCTCCAAAAACCGAAAAAACCAATGATGCATGCGAAAAGTGATGAAATAATCAAGGCTCCTTGAATATATCTCATAGTTACTTCAAACCTCTGCAAAATCAGTAAAAACACCAGATTAAGATCAAAAGCAAATAAATCCATTGACGGGAAGAAGAAGATAGGCAGCAAATAGTGAAGAAAGTATCATAGTATTTGTAAGAATTGCTTCAAGAAATAAATAAATAAATAAATAATGCTAAATTTGAATAGAGGCAATAACAAAGATCAACCTCGTCGGGATCAATTATATAACTGAATCTCCTGGACAGAGCAATGGAGATAGTGGGGACAATGAAAGCATATGAACTGCCTATCACCACTGGCAGCCGAGTACCTAACAAAGTCTGCAAAAGGGTGTTTATGCCAGCAACAAAGAGAGAAGTGTTTATCACCTTAGCCTTCTGAACCTATTTTCAAAAATCAAACAAACAATTAGTTTAAAAAGCCCACAGAACCATACAACAAGTTGGGGGAAAATGGGTTGAATCTCAACTAAGTAAGTTTCTTACATCGCCACCGCCCATTAAAGGGACGACTATGGATGGAATGATAACAGTAGTCCCCAGCATCACCAGGTAGTGCTGAAACCCTAGAATTATCGCTTCAGCTGCATTTAACGGAATTCAAAAATGAAACGAGAATCTCAGAATAATGTACTCTTTGGATTCAACCAAAATGAAAAACCGCTAAATTGTTTCTCCCTTTCTCTAGAGGAGCAACGTTTTTCCTTCATTCTAAGCTATTCATTACTCTGCGTAGACAAATATAGTCAAAATCGGGGCCAGACGCAACCGAAATTCCAGCTTTAAATAATTGCATTATTCATGATTAATTAATCTTCAGTAATTGTAAATAAAGATGGAGTTGAAAATTTGACGAATGAAATCATGCGATTTCAGAGGAAAAAGTAAGAAATTCAAATTTTAAAATAAGAAACCAAAAGGAGTCCATCCTAACACTCTGTTTGGTTCGCGAGAAAAAGCGAGAAAGTTATTATCAAATAAAACCTCAAATTCTAGAAGAAAAAAACAAAGAATGAAAATTAGAAAAATGAGCGGGAAAGCCATCACCGGCGGGAGCTGGACGATTAAGGCACGAAACATGATTCCATTAAGGAAATCAAAGAGGAAGCAAAAAAAAAAAAACAGAGGAGAATTGCAAAACAGCGTCTGAAACTGGTTCTAGTCAAGAAAAGAAAGTTTAAACGGGAGCGACGGTGACGAAGAAGAAGAGACATGGAAACGGAGAAATGATGCGTAGCGTATGCATGAGCGTATAGAAACAGAAAAGGAGAGGAAAGTACGCCAAGGAGGAGAGCTGGAGACGCAGAAATCGACGGCAGGAAGCTGGTCTTTGACAGGATGAGGCCCGAACTCGTCCGCCTTTCCTCCGCCACCGCCGGCCGCCATAGTTTTTCCCTTTTTGTCTCTGTGATTGCTGCTATTACTGAAGCAGGGAGTGTGATGGTGGTGGTTTTCCCTCCATATTTGTATTAGGAGGGAGAAGAGTGATGACATAAGGTTAGGCAGACGCGTTGTGACTCAACGCGTCTCACGCTCCCTTCCTTTTAGAAAAAAAAGAAATATAACTTAAACCAAAATGATATAATTACCCCCCAACTTAAAATAATTCCATTATAATTTTTTTTTTATCAAAAGTTAGAGATTAAGTTAGATGATACGTAAATAAAATGAATTAATGGATAGGATAGAGTTTTTTTGAAATATAACTTAAACCAAAATGATATAATTACCCCCCAACTTAAAATAGTTTCATTATAATTTTTTTTTTTATCAAAAGTTAGAGATTAAGTTA